TCTGGATGAACCTGCAAGGATAAATCTGCGAGGGGAAAGGAGTTAGTTTTAAGGCAAACCCACTGAGGTTAAATAAGCGGCCTTTTTACAGGCAGTTCTTTGATCTCCAATTAAAGGTGTTTTGTTTGTTTTTTAGTTTTAGAAGTGCGACTGGCCAATTGAGCTAGGGAAAAATCACACATCCCCCTCCCTCGCCGACACACAGATGACCCACAGCTCCAAAAAAGACTCTATGGATTGGGGGGGGGGGGGCGATGAAGAAGAATGAAAAAATGAGAAAAACATCACTCAAAACTCAAGGAAAGTTATGAGTTATACCTGAATGTTCGGGCTACTTTTTTTTTTTTACTCGCGATTTGTGTTTTGTGACGGCCTCTGTTGCGCAGCAATACAAAATCGGTTTAAATTACTGATATCAGGAGCCAGGGAAAGTTGGATTAAAAAGTATAAGACGCTATTGATTAACTGACCCACGATTTGTTTTTTTTGGCTTCCTTTGACAGAGGATAAAACTCTCCAGCTTGGAAACGCCTAACCAAATACCTGCATACTATTTGCTACTGCTTCCTCGTTGATCAGTACAACAGAGGGCCATATCCCTAAAGAATCCCTACAATGAACTGCTGAAAAATTAAGTACCTTCGCCAACCACTATGATCAAATAATTAAAAAGAAAGAAGGATAGCAAAAGGGGACAGAGACCTTAGCCAAATCATGGACCAACGAGAAAGACACACTCGGGACTAACAAGCGAAGTGGTTTTTTCATCCACAGGTCTCTCTGCTCCTCTTGGGAAGTTGCCGGGCGCTGCCATTTCACTCCGATCCCAGAACCGCAGGCCAGTTTTGTCCTGGGATTAACTACGAATGTAGTTAACTCTCTTGAGTTAATCTGGGCGATGGAGAAGGGACTCGCGGCCATTTTAGACGGTGGCTTTAGATTCGAAGGCGTTGGCTTTAGCTTGGCCAGCTCAGATGCGGATAAAAGTCCCCAAGCTCGGGATGGTGTGTGTGTGTGTATTGGAGACCCCAGTCTTTCAAGCCTTGCCTAGAAGGTCATTTGCGCTCTATTCTTTACAACGCCTCTATTATACCCACTAAGCCGGTGTTCCCTCCCGGCATTGTTCAGGCCGCGGCACCAGGCCCTGAAGGCGTCTCTGGACTCTTCCAAGAGACGTTCCCGGTAGGAAAACGTGGGGCCTGAGATCTCGGCCTCCGCCATCTCCGCCCTCTCTTTTTCTACTGCACCTTCTTTCTTTGGCCGGCTTGGGAAAGCGGATGCCGGAGCAGGCAAGGTCAGCTCAAGTTCAAGTTCAAGGGTTGTCCCCGGGATGAATGGGGGCCCACGAGGGAAGGGCCGGACGGGACTCCCCTTTCTCCCTTCCCCTCCCGCGGGGCGGAGGGAAGGACACGGAGGAGGAAAAGCGGGCTTCCTACAAAGCGGGAGCTGCGCCCGGAGTAGAAGCGCTGCGGCCTTTGCTCCAGGCAGCTTCTCCATCGCCTGCAGGAGTAACCGAGTAACCGAGCTTCCAACCGGCATCCGGGCTTGGGGGAAAAGGATCCCTCCTTCGGCTGGGGCTCCCTGGAGAGGAGAGACGGGACAAGCAGGGACGGTGCCCGGGCGTCTCGCTGCCCACGGCCATCGCCCGGAACAAGGACTCTCGCCCAGTCCGCCTTTCGCGGGGTGGTGGTAGGTGGGGATCCTCCGGAATGCGGGCGGGGGGGGGGATTTTCGCCTCCCTTAAGCCGGCTCGGCTTTGGGAACCCCCAAAGCCTGGTTTAGCTGAAGCAGTCGCGGTGCAAACCAGGGCCAGCCGGCTTCGGCTTCTGCGTAGTAGGCCGTTTGCAACAAGCGGGCACCGGCTCTTCTCCTTTAGGGGATCAGCGTCCTGCGCTCCTGGTTTGAATAAAACTAAGAAAGGAGGAAGAGGAGGACGGTGGGTCTCTTAATATTGAGAGCCACCGTCAAATGACACCATCAAAATGTCATTTGATTGCTTCAATGTCTTTTTTTTTTTTTTTGCATTGCACACTCATGAATGAATGAATGAGTGAATGAATGGGAAGAAATGGATCCAGCGCCTGAGAGTAGGAGCCCTGATTCAACGGGGAGAATGAAACTCGGGTGGCAACCTCAACTGGAGGGAGGCAAGGGAAGGAGAGCGTGGATTGTCTCCCACTTTCCACTGCGGAAAGTTGGGTTTCACCCTCGACCGCAAAGCACCCAGATAATATCTTGCTTTTTTGGGAAGGTGGGGGTGGAGAGAAAGCCCACACGGGAGTAAAGGGGAAGTAAGCGAGCCTTTATACTCAAACAAATCGACCCGCCTTAGGATTCTCCTCTTCCTTGCCACACAGGCTGAGAGGTCGCGTTTGCCAGCAACCTGGAGTGGAGTACCAGAAAGGAAGGAAGGAAAAAAAAAAATCTTTCTGCGGGTTGCTTGGGCAGCGTGGAGAAATGGTGTCGCCGCCTGCCAAGGATCGCGGAAGTCGGCCAGGGCTTAAGAAAAAGGAAGGAACGGCGCGCTTGCTTTCAGTGTCCAGGCGGGGAGGTTTTTTGGAGGGGAAAGGCCGGGCCTTCGAAGATTGCAAGCTGTCAAGCCCGATTTCACTCCAGATTCTTCGAAAGGGGGGGGGGGGGCTTTCCTGGGTGAGGATTTGGCGTTCAGATCTCGGAGGACCCAATGTATCCAAGCCTCACCAAAGCCTAGCTAGTATCGGAAGTGAATTTAAGATATATATATTTTTTAAAGGGGAGAGGGAAGGCATTTTTAAATTTCCACTCAGGTAGAAGAGGATTTTATACTTTATAGTGATAACGTGGGAGGGGGTTAGAGATGCTCCGGCATAGTAATTCATATACTGTATACCGTCAGTATTCTTCTTGGCCCTTATAGCTAAACACGTGCTCCTGCAGTCAATTGTGCACAATATCCCCAGCGAGAATAAATATTGACTTTCAGCCAGGAGGTCATTTAAAATAAGAATAATAAAAGAGAAAGAAATTATTATTGGGATTATGTAAGAAGGCTTCGATTTTACTGAGATATAGCAAGAATGGATGACTCTCCTTTTAAAAATAAACCAACAGCCCAACTAATTAGTTTCATTAAACATTAATCATATAAAAATATAAAAAGCAACAGAGAAAACCCACCACTTCAAAAAGTTAGGGGTATTCTTAGAGAGAATAAATGCATGAATATAAACCAAGAGAGTAGTAGTTCAGATATTGTTAGTTTGGGCCCAGAGAAATATAAAACTCAAACAAATGAAGTATTTCAATTAAAAGGTACAGGTCATTCTTTAAACTTCTGTTCCTTTTAATTTTTTTATTTCCAAAGGGGGAGGAATGAAACCCTTGTTAAGTCTTCTGCTGAGCTGGCATTCAGATGGCAGAAGGGCCTTTCTCCAAGTTTGGAGCAAGGCAATCCTATATGTGTGTTTATTGAGTAGTAAGGCTCTTTGTGATCCTTCCTCTCAAGTAAATGCACATATAGCAAGTTCAGCCTGCAGTTCTGGGGAGGGTTGTGCTGTGTGAGCTTTTGAAATGTAAAATGAGTTTTAACATTAAAAAAAGAAACTAGTAGTATTTCTTTAGTATAATTTATATAATTATGGATGGTTTTAATTGGTTTTAAAAATCAACTTTTAATAGCTTCACTCTAACCAAGTATGAATTTATTGGGATAAGGAGAAAGATATCTGTGGATTAAAAATATCATGGACTGCAGTTTCAACACATTTTATTTATATTTCTGTATGCATTACTCTCAAAAAATCACAAGAAATGATGAAACCACATAAACCTCCAAATAAAAAAATTCTGAAACAGTTTATGCTCACAATTGTACATATTTATAGTTAAGAAACATTTTTTTATAAATACTGTTTCCTCTGTAGCAAGTTAATACCATAATTTAATTACAAATGGATAAATATGGCAATAGGTATTTACACAAGGAAGGGTGTTATTACGGGGGAAAAAAAAAAACCTAACAGCACTACCTTTATTTTCCCTACCCCCAACCTTCCACAAATTTCCAAACAGGAACTAGCAAAAAGCACTAAAACATCACATGTAAACCCAGCTAACAGAAAATACATTCACAAGTGTTGGGAGAAGGGGGAAATTTATCTGGGTCGTTTTGAAAACAACATAGAGACTTTGGCACTTTTTTTAAAAAAAAAAATCTTTCAGATCTATATTTCAGTGAAGTTTACAATCAAAGTTGCCTCTTTTAAAGGGAACACAATATTCAATACCACAATTACAGGGGGGAAAAAAACCATTTGCTTTCATGTTTTTCCCTTCTCCCCCTTTAAAATTGGTGAATTCAAGAACAAGGGAGAGATGGAGAGGAGAGGAGAGGAGAGGAGAGGAGAGGAGAGGAGAGAAGAGAAGAGAAGAGAAGAGAAGAGAAGAGAAGAGAAGAGAAGAGAAGAGAAGAGAAGAGAAGAGAAGAGAAGGATGCTCAAGAAAGAGCTCTGGGTGAAAGGAAAAGCAATCCATAGCTCACAAAGTGGACCGATTTCTATACAATAAGAAAAGGTTGATTACCACCTTGGATTCCTCTATGTACACTGGGAGAGATGGACGAACTCTGATCTTTGTTCACAATGATCTTTGTTCACAAAAGGCGCTTGGAGGCCCAGAGGGACAAATATCTGCAAAAGGAATATTTGCAAGTGTGGAGGCAGCGGCTGTCTCTGGGTGGGGAGAACCCTTTGCTGCTTTGAAGACTTCCTTCTCCTTCCTCTCCTCTTCTTATTCTTCCTTTTTTCCTTAAAGAGCCCTCTCTGCATTTCTCTCTCTCTCTCTATTTCTCTCTCTCTCTCTCTCTCTCTCTCTCAATCTTTCTCGTTTGGAATGTTTTGAATTCAAGCAAAAGGAGAAAAAAGAGTAAATTAGAGATAAAACAGAGAGTTGCAAAACAGACTTGGACTCCGACTGCTTGGCCCCCAGGGATCCAAGATGAGTGGCAGCAGCCCTGGGCATCCTCAGACGTACCACTCGTTGAAATTGGAGGTGAGGCTACTGTGGCTCCCGCCGCCGCCACCGCCACTGCTGCTGCCGCCCCCGGAGCCACCCGTCACCGCGGCTGCTGCAGCAGCGGCCGCAGCAGCTGCCGGAGACAAGTTGGAAGCGGCCGTACTTTGGGTCTCTGTGCTGGGGGACACCAACCCGGGCGGGGTGGAGGATTCGTAGCCAGAGCTGGCAGCAGGCGAGGAGTCAGAGCCTTGTGGGGAAGATTCATGAACCTATAAGGCAAAGGGAAACAATATTGCTATTATTAGATGTTTTACCTTGGTTTTGGCATTTTTTTCACCCACCTATCGAGTCCTTCCCAAACATGTTTGATGGAAGCGATCACAGCTGAACCAAAAACTGCCTTTTTAAAATGGAGGGTCCTGTCCATGCCCTGTTCAAGTGGTGCTATTTTTATTACATTAATAATTAATAGTATTTTTTTCCCTTATAAATGAAGGGAAAGAAGGCTTCCCCAGAGCTAAGGCTGTGAGTCCTCACCAAAGTCCTCCTTAAAGGGGAGGTGGTTAATTTCCATCCTCCTAGACATCACAGAGAACCCCAGTCCCGTCCTGTACAAAATAAATGACACAGAAGCGCACAGGCCTTTCTGATTCAACTCCAGGGCTCCCTCTGCCCCAGGCGAAAACCCTCATTTCAAGGGGGTCTCCGGCTTCCCACGAGCCCAGGCCTCTCTCTCCCTCTCTCCTACTGGCTCTCTCCCTCTCTGGTCTCTCCTAATCCCCTTCCCAGGCCAGCGCCAACGGGGTTACCTTCATGTGTTTCCGCAGAGAGCTGGGGTGGGTGTAAGATTTGTCACACATTTTGCACAAGTAGGGTTTGTCCGAAGTGTGGACGTGCATGTGCTTCTTCCGGTCGCTGCTGTTGGCAAAGCGCCTGTCACAGCCTTCGAACTCACACTGGAAGGGCTTCTCCCCTGCAAGAAGGAAGGAAAACAGTGGGGTAAATTGCTGCAAAAATAAAAATAAAAAATCAGCCCACCAGATGCAGGCCGCTTATTGAAGGAGTCCTTTTTCAGGAACAGAAAGACCTGGCGTGTGTGAGTGGCTGCAGAGAAAGCAGAATAGGCCTGGCCTAAAGGGAGGTATTATTATCAAATGCCACCTTATTTCCAAGCACTTTAATTTGAAAATCCCAGATACTTTCTTGCGCTGAGAAGGGTAAAAGAAGGCAGTGCAGTATGGCGGGACTTAGGTAAAACATGGACAATCCGGGGATCTGAGAAAGTTCCGGGAGCTGCAAACTTGGTTTTCTAGGCAGACATAAACAGACGGAGAGAGAGATCACTCGTGTGAAAGATAACCTGTGGCTGTTGTTTCAAATCCTAAATTCCTGGCTGAAAGCAAGAAGACTCGGCCCTGTTTCTATTTCGGGATACAGCTTAGAAGCAAAATTAGCTTCCCAGCTCAATCCAGATTTAATAAAACTAACCAGCACGGCGTGAACCAAGATCTGAAAAAGTATTGTATTTTTTTAAAAAATATTATTATTATTGCGTTAATGGAAGGACGTTGGAAGTTAATCCTGGTAGATCTGCTTGGGGTGTTGGGTGGCAGTGGGTAGGAAGGGGTGAGGTGGGGGAAAATATGTGGGAAAGGACTACCTCCAAAATCTTTCCTTGGAATATTCTTTGACTTTTTTCACCCTGTTGCCAGATTTCCGAGTAATTTGTAGGTGTGAGAATTCAAATACCACAACCTCCGCTCCCCTCCCGCTAAATCGGAGGTGGGAGAGATGGGCAATTTTACAAGAAATCCCATTAGTACGTAAATTGTTCCTTAAAGGCAAAACCTTTAGGTTGCCAAATCGGGGCCATCTCCCTGCAAATCAAACGCCTGGGGTTTGTTAAACCTCGTTAAAACCTGTCTGGCACCTCGGTTCGTCCTTAACACGTCAACAACACAACCAGAAAGGCCCAGAGAGTCTCTTAGTTAATACTGATGTCCGGAAATCGCTCAAATATTTGACTTGAAAAGAAGAGAGGAAGCCAAAAGAAAAAGAAAGTCTCGGCTCAAATGCGACCGGGAGAAAAACCCTTGGAAACTGACGCTCTTTTAAAATTTAATCGCTTGGATTTAGCTGCAAAATCGCGGGTCATTTTGGCCCCTGAGAGGATTCCAAGCCTGAACGTTAATTTTTCCGGCAGTTGTTGCATAATATAAACAAGATAATGCAAAAAAAAAAAAAAAAAAAACGCTTCAGCGGCTGCGGCTGCGGCTTCCAAAACGAGAAAGTGTTATTTCTCATCCCCTTAACACGAAGTGAAAAGCAACAGCGTAACTCTGCGAAAGCCTTGCTCAAAAACAGAGAAGAAAAGCGAATCTACTTTCAATTCCCTCACGCTCCTTTTTACAGCGCCGTATCTTATTCCTTCTCCTGGATAAAAGCAGTTAAGGCGCGTAATTTCGGTAACTTTCCAGATTTATATCCATATTTATCCAGAAATAAATCGGATAGATTTCTAAGTCAGGGGTCCTCGGAATTGTGTGGTTATTGTGCTAGTCATCCTCGAAATCTCCGAGTTTCCCTTTGTTGTTACGCTCAGAAAGGAGGGAAAGGGCTACCGCTCGCTTTGGCCGCCTTACACCCCAGCCGCGTTTTCAGCTCTAAGCGTCGGCCGGTGCTTCGGTCTTCCTCACTAGATTTACTTAAACTCACGTTGGGTTTTACTCCGACGGAGACGTGCGAAACTTAATAGCGAGACCCGCGGGGACCTTTCAAAATAGTCCTTTTTTAGAAAAAAAAAATTTGCCCCAAATTAAAACTCCATACATACTATTGGGGAAAAAAAACAAAAAAACAACAACACGGGGATAAACTAATCGGAAGGGTTTGCCAGCCGTGGTCCTCGTAGACGGAGGAGCGAAGCGCAGCGAAGGAAGAAAACAAACCTTTCTCTTTGAGTTTGAGCCGGAAAGAAGAGATTTGTGGTTTTTTGTTTGGAAAAGCCCGACCTGCCCTCCCCGCGGCCCCTCCCCGCTTCCCTCCCCCGTCCGCTCCGACTGACCTGTGTGCGTCCTTTTGTGGATCTTGAGGTTCTCGGAGCGGGCGAAGACCTTGCCGCATCCCGGGAAGGGGCAGGGGAAGGGCTTCTCGCCCGTGTGCACGCGGATGTGGTTGACCAGCTTGTACTTGGCCTTGAAGGGCTTCCCTTCGCGCGGACACTCCTCCCAGAAGCAGATGTGGTTGCTCTGCTCGGGGCCCCCGACGTGCTCGACGGAGACGTGGGTGACCAGCTCGTGCATGGTGCTGAAAGTTTTATTGCAACTCTTTTTGGGGCTGCTGAGCTGCTCCGGGTCGATCCACTTGCAGATCAGCTCCTGCTTGATGCACTGCTGGCGCATGTAGCGGAAGAAGGCCCCGGGGTGGTGGTGGTGGTGGTGGTGGTGGTGGTGGGCGTGCGGGTGGTGAGCGTGGTGGGCCGCCATGTTCATGCCCATGTTCATATTCATGGGGCCGTATTGGCCGTGCAGCTGGGCCGCCGAGTAAGGGTCAGTTCGGGGGCTGGACACCTGCCGGTACTGATCCGACCGACCGAAGACTTCTCCGGGTAAGCCCAAGCGCATTTGCCCGTTGAGGACGTTGGGGGCACCGGGAGCGCCATGCTGGTCTCCGATGCCCGGGAAGAGCAGGTGGCTCTGCGGCTCCGCGTGCGGGTGATGGAGGCCGCCGCCGGCCGCCGCCGCCGCCGCCCCGAAGAGCCCGTGCTGCCCGCCGCCGCCCGCCGCCGGCTCCCCAAAGCCTCGGCTCCGAAACAAGAAGTCCCGCGGGGAGTTGAAAGGCGGCCCGGAGTAGGAGCCGACATGGGCGGCGTGCGGGTAAGCCGGCGCCTGCGAGCTGAAAGCCGAGCCTTGCCCCGGGGAGAGCTCGTGAGCCGCCGCCGCCGCCGCCGCCGCCGCGTTGAGCTTGAAGGCCCCCAGGTGAGCCGCCGCCGCCGCCGCCGCCGAGTCCACGAAGCTGTTCTGCAGGCTCAGTTCGCGCTCTTGCATCTCCGCCGCCGACGGGGGCGGGTGCCGGGCGAACGTGCCCACTCCCAGCGTGGGGAACTGCGGCCCCGCATCCAGCAGCATGCCGCTCGAACCCCCCTCCAAGGTCCGGGGCTCTGGCCTGCCGCCGCCGCCGCCGGAGCCGGAGCGAAAGAAGGAACGGTGCTGCCGAGGCGAGTCCAGAAGCAGGCGGCCACCCGAAAGGGTATTGAACGGCTGAGGCGGGGGCGGGCGGGAAGGGCAGCCCTGAAGGGACGAAGGCAAAGAGCAGTCCGGGGAGAGAGGAAGGAGGAGAGAGAGAGCGAGAGAGAGAGAGAGCGGTGGGGGGGGGGGGGGGGGGGGGGGGGGAGGTCTCGCTTTTCCCTGGGAAAATAAAAACACAAGGCACAAACCCCCGGCGAAGAGATGTCAGCGCCACCGCCACACCAACAGCCTCTCGCACACACAGGCGAGCAGCTATATAGGGAGAGCCGCGCGCTCGCTCTCGCGCGCACGCACGTACACGGGGGGCGGGGGGGGGGGAGAAGGAGTGCGCGCACGCGCGGGCGGACGAGAGCGGCGGCTTTTTCCCTCACACGCCACGCGCTTTCCGAAAACAAACACGCCGTCCTTCCTCAGTCGCACTTCTCCTCCTCCTCCCTCCCCCCCACGCTCAGCCCCGCTCCCCGGCCCTGTTTGGGATCACTGCCCTCCTTCTCTTTCGCCGCTGCTGCCCGCCATTCGCTTGGCCTGACTAGCTCCAAACTTGCAGCGGCTCCCTCAGCGAGGAAGGAAACCGGCGCCTTTTCTCTCTCTCTCCACAAACCACCCAACCGCTCACTTTAAGTTGGGAAGGGTGGGAGGGGGCGGAGGGAGGGAGGGCGGTGAGGGGGATTGAAAGAAAAGAGAAAGAAGAAAAAAAAACAAAAGCAAAGGAGAAAAGAAGGCAGTCCAGAAGACAATAAAGGCAGGCGGTGTGGGAAGTGCCCAAGGTGCGTCCCTCAGGCCGGGCGCGGGTCCCACTCAGGCATGGCTAGCGCCCGCCATGAACAAGCTCCAACCGCGAGGGGGAGCGGGGAGAGCCGGTCCTTTCTCTTCCTCCTCCTCCTCCTCGTCCTCCTCTCTTTGGCGCGCGCGGAGGGGGGGGGGTCGGGCGCGTCCTCCCTTGGTCTTCCCTTCGCCTCTCCTCCTCGTTTCCTTGTTGAGGCGGGCGCCGCTGCGGTGGCTGGTTTTTATCTCCCGCTCTCCACCCGCGCCCCCTCCCAGCCTCTCCCGCTTAGCCGCTAGGCTGGACTGGCAGCTCCTCTCCCGCCGCCCCCTTTAACAGCAGCCAGGCCATTCTCCAGGCGCCCTCTCATTGGTCGCTCCGGCCCATCAATCCCAGCTTCCCCCCCCCCCCCCCGGGCTAAGCGCCCCTCGAGAGTCCCTGGCCCCGACCCGCCTCCCCCCCCCCCCCCCTCTCTCCCCCTCCCTCTCTCTCGCCCCGGGTAGCGGGCAGCGCTCTCCAAGACCCGGTGGGCACCTCCTTCCTCCGAGCCAAGGCGAGAAAGCGGCAACCTTTGGATCAGAGGGAACAAGCTGGCGGGGAGGGGGAGGAGGGGATCGGAGCCCGCTGACCGCAGCCAGCGCCGGCCGCAGCTTGGGTTGCGGAGAAAGGGAGCAAAGAAGCAGAACCTCCCCGGGGACTTCGGTCTCCCTGGAGGAGAGAGGAACCCCGTCACCCTGAACTTTCAAGGGGTGTGGCAGAAGGTTGGGGAAGCGGCTGGCTACGGAGGGGGCTCCGACGGAACGAAGGAAAAGCCCGCTAGTAGGAAATGGCTCGGCGGGAAGAGGCAGGCAGCGGTTGTCCCTTCGGAAGGTGCCCTACTACGGCTTGGTCGAAACCGACGGGGGTTCCTAAACCTCCGCCCCTCCCTCCCTTCCTAGGAGATGGGCTGCGCGGAAGACACGGGTGCAAATAGAGATGTCTGTGCCTTGTGTCAAGGAAGGGCCGGTTGGGGGTGGCCAAGAGTGGGCAAGGCAGCCAGGCGCACGTCGGGGAAGGGCAACGCGGAGAGACGGGCAGGCCCTGCAACCTGGCGCTGAGAGATCCGGGTGTGCGCGTGCGTGCGCGCGCGCGTGTGAAAGGGGCGAGATGGGACGAGCGGGGTCAGAATCGGCTGCCGGTTCTTGAGGGTTCGAAATCGACCGAAAACATCCTGTGCAAATTCCCCAATATTCACTCCGACCAGGACCGTAACTGGGTTGTGTTAATTTGCGTACATTGACCCCACAAAATGGCAATCCTGAAATAACAACAGTAACAAGAAGTAATGGCGCCATCTTCTTTCTTGCATTTAACAAAACAAATCACCCGCTTGTGCGGCTCTAGAAAAATCGGGAATCTGTTCTTCATTTGAAATTCTACTTATTTTATGAAACTACAATTCTAACATTCTTATGTTTTTATTATTATTATTATTATTATTATTATTATTATTATTATTATTATTATTATTATTATTATTATTATTATTATTATTATTATTATTATTATCATTATCATTATCATCATTATCATCATTATCATTATTATTATTTAGCATGAGTCTGTTTCTAAACAGGTTTTGGAAGGAAGATTAGTTAGGCGGTAAATACTTAAAATATATTGCATGGACGGGTAGACAAGACAAGATTTAACAGTACTTTTGGACAAATCCTTTTGTTTTATTTATGCTTTATTTCGCCCGCCCGCCCCCCCCCCCCCACACACACACACAAACACACGCAGAAATTAATTATGAAATTAAAAAAGTGTTTTACCCCAACTACCTAGAAGTAAACCCTGACAGCGGGTTGGTTCTTCGCCCTGAGCCGAGGCTGCGTTTTTTGACAGCCGAAAAGGGCTTTGAAGACCAAGCGCTGCCCCTCAACTGCTTCCCCGCCTCGGGAGGGCCAAGCGGGCGCCTCGAGCCTTTCTTTCACTGGCTTTTTACCTCGTTCCCCGGGCCACAACTAGCTGCCCAGCGCCTCCGCTTCTCTGACCGGCTGGCGGGAGGAGGTGGAGGAAGGAGGAGGGCGGAGAAGGCAACCCCGAGAGACGCGCCCTCTCGTTTATTGATCTGGCCAGGCTGGATTGCGGAGGCTCGCCCTTCCGTCCTTTTTGGGAATCGGGAGCTTGGGCGGCGGGCAAACAAATCGCGGGCCAGAGGTGGCGGCGGCGGCGGCGGCGGCAGCGGGGAAGCCGGTCTCGGCCTCTTCCGAGCTCCCGGTAGTCGGCGAACTTGACCGCGGCGCAGTTGTACGCGGCCTGAATTCGTCCGCTCGAGGATCCCTTCCACCCGGCGTTAGGGAAGGTAAGGAGGAAACGGCGTCTTGTTTCCTCTGTTTTGTCCAGAGAAGGGAAGGGAGTGCGCCCACAAGGGTTGTGAAGGTTACCCTCCCTCCCTCCCTCTTGATTGTCCAGGACGGTGGGTGTCTGGATAGAATAGTTCCTTCCAGCAGCAAACTCCACAGACTCAAACTCTGCGCTTTACTTCCAAACTTCGCTTCTCCTCTCCCTGCAGAAAGTTCAAAGCTTGATCGCCGGCCTTTTTTCTGCTGCTCCCCCTCCCGCTTTATTTGTCTCCAAACCTTCTCCTCCCCCCCCCCAAACCATGTCACGGGGGTGACCAGGAAACGGGGGGGGGAGAGAAGCTCCTAGAAACAAGCTTGCCGTCTCTTTCACGGGCCATTGGCCGAAGTGCAGCCTTCACAGCGCCGCTTTTACCAGGAGAGAAAGAAGCCAGCAGGCAAAGTTCCTTGGAAAAGTGAAGTCCGAGGCACAGCAACTCTTGGGAAAACACGTCCCTGACTTGTAAGTTTAATTATTTTCCCGTTTCTGCCTCCCCCCCGCCCCCCCCACACAGAATGAGAAGGTTTGATATATTTTGTGGTCTTAGTATCTCCCATAACTCGCCACTTTGAGATGCCTGTTCCTTGAAATTGACGCCTGGAATCACAGGAAGGGAACCCCGCGAGACCCTTTTGCCTCTCGGAGGGTCTCTGCAGAAGCTCCCCGCTTCCTTTGACGCGGGAACAGATTTTCTTGGGCCAAAGGATAGGCTCCTGCATGTAGATATATCAGTGCACCGAAATATATATATATATATGACAAAGTGTGGAGAATCCAACTTCTGCTTTGCTGTAAACCTTTTCGATTCTTCCCAAACCTGCCTATGCTTCTTCGGCCTCCCGGTTTTCCCTGAATTTGCTCAAGCTATGGGCAAATGTAAACCTGCAGCCTGGATTAAAAATTAAAAGGTAGTGTGTGGAATGTACTCTTAAACGTTTTCCAATAGGCACCACTCAGCCAAAGATAAAGTATCTTAAAACTGAATGCTGCTTGCCTGGGAATTAATTCCATGTTCCTTAGGGGCTCCTCCCCACCCCAGTTGAATGTGCCTCAGGTTAACATGGCCTGTCTATTGTTATTATTGGCTGGTTTGTTTCCCATTGAAACCCAAACTTTTTTAAAAAAAATTTCCATTCTTAAGATCTGAATCTGTCGGATAATGTGTTGAGTGCCCATGCTGGATTTGTTTATTCCTCGATTTGATTAGATTGGTTTCCTAATAAAAGTGTTTGGAGTTTGCATTATTTGTGCAGTGCGTTTGTTTTAAATTGTGGTGGGAGCAGAATTTTGAGGAAGGGAAAAAAGGGGGACGAATAAGATTTCCTGGTAACATTCCATTTTTAGATTATAAATTCAGCCTGTAAAGTCATTCCAAATTACTATGAATTGGTAGAGGAGGATCTCCCCCTCCAACACACACACACACACACACACACATCAATTTCTTCAGGTCTGCTTGCCTAGGGTTGTATCACAGGCACTTGCAAATTCAACAGGCTCATCAACAGGAGGTTCCCAAACTCAAGACCAACCATTTCTAGGCCCTTCAACCTCTGACTTTTGAATACCAGAAGACAGAAGGGTCTATAGAGGGCAGTATCCTTCTGTAATCTACCCTTTGGAGTGGCCAGGATCACAACCACTGTGATCCTCCCCCCCCCCTCTTTTTTTGGTCAGCATTCTGGGAGAATCTCTTATATATCATGGCGTTCTCAGCCAAAGGTGTGTAACT